GCCGCCCATGAACAACTGCAACACCAGGGGAATCGCAGATGCGTTGCCGGCCTTTTAAAAAGGAGTACGCTCTTTTCTTGAAGGTCCCTAAGTCGTATCGGTCCGGAAAAATCGCTGATGGTAATCGATTCCACAAGGAGGTCGTGCGAGGAAGAAAACATCTTCTAAATCGCACAGTGGTGGACCGCCAATCATCCAGATGGTGTGGATGGTATCGGGAGTTCTGCCGCGATGTGCGTTCGTGAAATTTGGCGGCTGGGATTAATCCGAACAATTCCTCAGAGCACTCCCCATGGTAGATGCGAAAGAAAATGCAAATGGATGCAACATTTCTTCGCAGTGCCAATGAATCGAGCCGATCGGAAAGGGCTCGGTCGTCGACAATTCGAGCCGCTCTGCGTTGGATGCGGTCAAGTGGAAGGAGCTGGCACTGGGGAGCCCCTGCCCAGAGATGGGAACAGTATTCCATGTGAGGCCGAACTTGCGCCTTGTAAAGTAGCAGGCGGTGTGCCGGCATGAAATACTGTCCCGCTCTGCTGAGCACGCCAAGCTTTTTAGAGGCCAATTTGGCCTTCCCTTCCAAGTGACCACGAAATTATTATTGCCATTAGACTTTTTTTTAAAACGTACACTTCTCTTAATGTTGAAATAAAGAAATTAAAAAAAAAAGCAGTGATAGCCACAAATCGTGATCTAACGGAATTTAATCCAGGCCAATTCAATAATGTTAATTGGAATTTTAAATGCTAATATACAACATGCTCGGCGGTGAAGGATAATATCATAAGAGAAAGATGTATATAGGCTGTTACAATTTACAGTTTTTTTTTTACAAATATATGTGGTATGGAAAGTCGGAGAAATCCTTTAATTTTGCGTTACGTGATTCTGAGGCCATTACATATTTCTAGTATTTCCGTATATATTTTTATAAAATTATAGTACAGTCCGATAGAATAGAATAGAATAATTTTTATTTAATATGGATTACATGTAATTCTTATTGAAAGTCATTTTTTTTTACTTTACGTCCTGGGAAGAACCAGTAAGAAACCCAGCGGGACTTTTTTTAAATAAATTTTACAATATAAACGATTACAAACTATTTATTAAATTAAATTAAATTAAATTATTTTAGAAACAGCTTGGAAGCGACCACCTCATTCCCAGGGCTTATTATCAACCATGTACTCATCTATATTATAATAACCCTTTTTATACAGTTTGTGTTTAATTAAATATTTAAACTTGGTAATAGAGAGCCTCTGTATATCTTCTGGGATTTGTTGTAATAGCGTATACATTGCCCCAAGAATGAATTACTGACTCTGTGGATAGTAAGTGGCTGCTGCAACTCCTGGTTACCTGTAGTCAACTTCAAACAAAGAATGTATAGTTGCGGTGTAACATCTAAAAAACCGGCCAAGTGCGAGTCGGACTCGCGCACTTAGGGTTCCGAACAAATCCGTAGGTATATAAGTTTAAAATTATTAAATATATTTTTATTATATGATGTAACTAAAAATTTATGCTTTTCGCAATTTTTCCTTTATCGGTGCTATAATACGTTGCTTCGTACCAAATTTTAAGATTCTGAGTTCACGGGAAGTACCCTGTCCCTGTACGTTTTGATTGCGTTGGCTCAGAAGTTTGATTTTTTCACAGCTCCAAGGGACAGTAGATATGAGTATTTGATATGAATTTCAGCTTGATACCTCCACGCGTTCCTGAGAAAAAGGGTCTTGACAGACAGACAGACAGACGGACAACAAAGTAATCCTATAAGGGTTCCGTTTTTTCCTTTTGAGGTAAGGAACCATAAAAAAGAGAGGGAATGCCTCACAGCCTGTAATCATAAAGGCTTTCCACACTCTTCAGACTAGAAATAGTTAACGAGGTCTTGGTACCAACAGGCTTCTAGTTAGCAAAGGAGTCCTGCAACCAATCCTCACGAAATGATACAAGCAGTACGATATTCTTACGATACCGTCACACGCATTGAGTTATACAAGACTATAAATCAATGGTCACACGGACAAATAATATGACTATTTGCTAGTAAAGGAATAGCTAGTTAATTGTCCAACAGGGTTTGCTGAGATGACTTCTACAATTGTTCAGTATTTACTACTCAAATGGAAATGACATATTTAGTTTAAGTTACAGTTATATATTATCAGTTGTATTGCTTTGTTCCATTTTTACAGTTTTCTATAACATTTAACTATCGCAATATGCCATCGTGACTAACCTCGCGGGACTTGATGGAATCCAAGACGTTACTTATGCCAGTTCTTTCCGTGCATCTTTACTGATTTATAGTGGTATCCTAAAATTTTATAATGCAAATTCAAAATACATCATAAAACGAAATTCCTACACTGGTAAAACGCGGCAATTTTTACGATTCTAGTTGTTATACATAAAATATGAGAATTATCTAAGCTCAAGACGCGTTTATAAAAATATATCGATAAGTCTCATGCATAAATAAAAAACGATAAACGCAAACAAAAAATCCTTAACTTCAACTGTATATTTATAAAAAAAAGGAACGCATGGGTAATACGAGGAAAAACAACCGCCGAGGGTTCGTTTAAGAATATCTAATATTATAAAATAATGTATTGCACAGGGTACAAAAAAACGGAATGCAAAAAAACCATTTAAGATTAGGTATCAAGATATGCAATTTGGCATGACGACTGATAAATGACGCAAATGTAAATTTTAATAAACTTAAATGAATGTCTACTTATTAAACACAGTTACTTATTTACGTTGACGTCGTATTTTATACCCATTTACTATCGGTCCGTAATGTCCACTTGCGGTGAAGTTTATATAGGAACTGTATTACTGTATTCGCGACTTGTCGTCGCTGATGGTGATAACAAGGCTGGTTATTTTCGCGCTCAAAGGCTAAGTATAGCCAAACAGCGAGCAAACGCAGCCAGCATTCTTGGCACCATACTACGGAGAGTAGGACTTTATGATATTTTAATAGCTATATTATGACATTAAATGTTGTATATATTTGAATGTTTTTTTTTTATAGGATAAGAGTGACAAACGAGCACACAGTCCACCTGATGGTAAGTGGTTGCTGTGGCCCATAGACATCTACATCTATCTTCGATTACGAATCAAAATGCAGATGCGTTGTCACCCGTGAGCACTAAGATGGAATGCCTCGTTTCCAGTAAAAAGGGTCTCCGGTTCTCTACACTCACCATACGAAACACAGCTGCGTTAAGCTGCTATTTTACGCTGGTATTCTGTGAGAGCGTGGTCCTTCCCCGGTCGAGCCGACCCATTTGTGCTACAACCATAATATAGCTGCAGCATGGCTCTACCACGTATAAAATGTTATATTAGTAAATGGTTATTATTAATATTTCATGTATTTACATTATTATTTAAATATATATTTACTTAATCTTCTTAACAATACCAATTAGTGCATCCTTGGGTAGGCCTATCGCCAATGGTGATTTTAAAAATGCTTTTGATAACGTACTGTGATATAAGATTTTCGCCAACGTGTAAAGGTGTACCATTTTCATAATAGATACGTCGATAAATATCTGCCTACCCGGAAGACAAGAACATGTCCGGTAAACAGATGATTAATACTAGTTTTATAGTAAATCACAGATAAGTATATCACTATTAACCAGCAACACTTACGTAACGCCGTAATGTAACTAACCTCTACAATCACCTTTGTCGTAGTCACGAGATGCGGAGTGTGCAAATGCCAAAATATGTCGCTCTGTCGATCGTTTTATTACATAACGATGTATTTATGTCTAGGAATATATACGCATTGACGACTAACAAATTACATAATTACTTTTGTTAAAATTCGTTTAATTTTTAAACACAATATACATAGATAATTTGTTTATTACAGCCTAAATAAAGTCCACAGCTGAACATAGAACTCCCGTATAGATTGCCTCCCGGATGCACGCCGCGGCGGTTCCGTGCTCTGTACGGGAGATAGTGTCTACCCCTTGTTTCCCTGTGTCGCCTCTTAAGAACCCACGGGACAAGATGGGGTAGTGGATATTCTTGCACCGCCACTACACGGTTTGCACATTTTACAAGCTAAACATTTAATTATAAGTAATCAAATAAACGTAACCATTACCGTGTAGTGGCAGTGTAAGAATATCCAACAAGAGATGGGCAGCAGCGTCTTCCTAATAACTATTAAAAAAAATAAACTGCGGTTGCCAACCCGCTTGCCAAGCGTAGCAACTATGGCAAATATACTCCCTGTGATGGAGGCCTATGGTCAGCAGTGATCTTTAATTGGCTGTTACAGTAACGGTAAATAAACGTAACAAAATTATTGGCATTTATACAGGAAGCATAAAATAGCATAGAGGAATTCAGTGATTAGAATAACTCAAGGTGAAAACAAATTGCAGTGTCTCGTACAGCTCATATTATATTTAGTATTCGTAGGTTTGTAAAGCTGATTATCTAAACTAGCTTGACTTTAAACTACTTTAGATACATTATTTTAATTCTATTGGTCGCCTAGTGGTCGAAATTCGTCCGTAATTCATTTTCAGTTTTAGTTGCAAGCTGTTCTTCACTCACTATATGTACATATACGAGTATAGGATTATCTATGTTTTTAACTAATTTGCGCATATTAATATGTAAATTTATGACGGCAATATTTACTCGGTGCAACTGTTTAACCACAGACTATTATGTGTGTGACATTGTTGGTATAAATGTGTTTAACAATGTATAGGAAACCCAGCGGAACTTTTTTTTAAATAAAATTAATTTACATTAAGAACATATATTATTTTATACAATAAGTATGAAAAAATTTAGATACAACATGGTAGCGATCATTTTATTCCCAGGGGTCATCAATCATGTACTCTTTAATATGCCTTTAATATAATATGCCTAAACCTCGGATGATACAAGAGAGAGCTTATGTTTTATGTATGTTTTATTTTTTGTTTCAGATATTGCAATCACCACGGGAGATCAAATAGAATTCTATAGCAATCAAACTAAAACAAGCAATGAAGGCGTCCGGTTTCGAGACCTCACAGCTTTGGCTTACGATGCTGTTTATAATATGCTGCTCTTTGTGGATAGACAGAACGATAATGCTTCTATATTTAGCTACAACTTAGCAACAAAGAAATATCAACCATTGGTTAGACGAAGGTCTTATGAAAATATCCAAGGATTAGCGTTTGATCCAATTACAAGTAAGCTTTTCTGGACGGACACTAATGAGAAGAGCATATTTTGGATATCGTTGAAGCCTGGATCAAAAAATGATATTTATGGCAATCTTTTAATCAAAATGGATGATGAAATTCCACGAGCGATAGCCGTTGACAGCTGTAGAGGGTAAGTGTTCCGAACGAGTAAAATTCTGCATATGTTCGAATAATGTTCCTTAACCACAGAATAAATAATACATAGTACTAGATACTTAAACCATGAATGAAGTTTTCACAAGGTTATTTTTGTTTGTTAGTTATGCTAACATAGGCTAACATAAACTGCTTTTTTAAGAAGTTATCAAAACTTGATTTTCATATTTAAGAGTAGAAACTAAAAATTAACAAATTTCAGATATATCTATTGGACGAACACAAATATTACAAAGCCAACTATTGAAAGAGCACGTTTCGATGGTACAGAGAGAACTGTTATCGTCAACACAGATATATACATGTTGGTCAGCATTGCGGTGGATCAAAACGCCAAAAAGCTGTACTGGGCAGATGATAGAGAAGGAATTCATTATTCTATAGAAAGTTCCGATTTGGACGGAAAAAATAGAAAGAAATTGGTTGTTGGAACATATCATATGCCTAACGCAGTAACTGTGTCTAAAGATTCAATATACTGGGTTGATTGGGGTTATAAATCAGTATGGAAACTACCTAAAAACCCTCCACCAAATGCCGAACCCGAGGAGCTGATTACCTTCTCCAATGAGGTTCCGTTTGGAATTGTCGCTAATTACCAAATAGCAGATCAAACTGCTGGTGTGTCAGAATGCAAGGATCTGTCGCGAATGTCGCAGAATCGATCGACGATCAACGATTCGTTCAACATTCCGAGGGACTTGGGCTTGTTCTGCTTGCACGGTACGAAAACAGATGGAAAACTGGTTTGCAAGTGTTCACCCGGATACATAGGAGAACGCTGTGAGATTTCTGTCTGCCACAACTTCTGTCTTCATGGCGATTGCAATTCGACGCCAACTGGACAACCTCAATGCAAGTAAGTGATAACACAAATATATTGCGTGCTTTGAATAAAACTATTTTTACGGATTTTATCGCGTTTAATTTACTTATTTTATATTCCCGACGTTTCGGTTGCTTTCCAGCAACCGTGGTCACGGGGGAAAACGTCGGGAATATAAAATAAGTAAATTAAACGCGATAAAATCCGTAAAAATAGTTTTATTCAATGTGTAGTGTTCGCGTAAATATAAGAAATCATTATATATTGCGTGCTGTTACATTGTATTAATTACTGTTTTCAAGTTTATTTCCAAGATTTCCAAGTCTTTCCCTTTTAACTGGAAACGAGGTACTGGTCTTAGTCCTCAGGGGTGACAACGCATCTGCATTCTGATACCTAACTGTGGATAGATGTAGAGGATTTGTCTGTGAGCCAATACATCCACTTACGATCGGTTGTGTGCCCGTTTGTCATCGATATTCTATAAAGTGCACACAGATTAGTGGTCGTTTGATTTTTATTTTGTAATGTTGTAATCTCTTCATTTGTTTATAAAATAAAAGTGTTCAATGCTACGTGTGCTCCTTGACTCTGATTATATTATGTAATTCATCATGGTGGGAAACTTCCAACTCGAAGTATTAACAATTAACGTTTTTATATGTACCTACGTAATTAATTATATTATTGGTTGTCATCATTCTGAGTAGTGCGTTGCTGGCCATTGTTTAATTTAATCTAATAAAAATAATTTGTTAACAAAAATTTTAATATTCCCATACGTTTTTTTCATATTTTTTTCTAAAGGTCCTTTTAACTATATTAAAATGAATGTAATAGCACTTCTTATTATTTGCTATAGTAAATTTTAATTTTTCGATTTCCTATAACTGTAATTTTCATTTGTTTCTTTAGGGTAATAACTTTAACTTTCATTACATCCCGAAAACTAATAATAATAATGTCCTACAGACCGAATCTCGGTTACAACGGCCCGTCACAACGGAGACTAGGTATATACGCAAGACAGGATATAGTACACGAATGTGTGTGCAAGCACAGGTCAATCTCTATTCTCTCACTCTCCTAGTTCAATTGGACGGCAATCCGAAACGTCCTGAGAGAAAACCTAAGGGTTTTCGTACTTTCCGAGGCACTGATTTACTTGTTGCTACTGAGAAAAACTCATCTTGGTCCGACCCGGAATTCGAACCCGACCAATATACAAAGCATAAGTCAACCCAAAACCTCGAAAACTGGTTGTTCCTTGAAACATTTTATAATTATCTTATTAATTAATTTCTATTTATTGCTTTTAGATGTAAAACAGGCTTCACCGGGGCGAGATGCGAGGTTAATGTATGTGACGGTTACTGTTTGAACAATGGCGACTGCCTAATAGGGCTTGAGCAGAAGCCCACTTGCACATGTCATGGCGAATACGAAGGGGATAGGTGTGAGACTCGTAAAATAAAAACAGTTGTAACAACGACGCCTGCATTACCTTTGGAAAATTGCAAGTGAGTTAGAAATGTTTTTGTAACAAATGTCATATTAATAAAAAAATGCCTAATTTAAAAAAAGACGCATTTACATAACTTCAACTGGATGCATTCTAGTCCATAACCCGCTGTAAGCAAAATTCATTTATACGAGTAAAGAGTTAAATCAAACACAGACACAGACAAATGGAAGCTAAACCAGGAGATGGGCGGCAGCGTCTTTCTAATAACAACTAAAGAATTAAAACTACGGCTGCCAACCCGCCTGCCAAGCGTGGCAACTATGGCAAATATCCCCCCTAGGCAATCTAAGCAGTGGACTTTTGATAGCTGGCTGTAACGGTAACAGTACTCTATACGCTCAAACAAAACATTAATAAAGCTTTGGTATTCTTTAGCTGTCAACCTCCTTTTCTACCGACTCCAAAAAAGAGGAGGTACTCAATTCGAATGTATGTTTTTTTATGTGTGCGATTTCAATGATTGTTTTTTTTTATTCACAATTTTTAAAATTTTTATCTGTCTGTCTGTCTTTTTTTCCGGCTAATCTCCGAAACGGATGGACCGATTTTGACGGGATTTCCACTGGCAAATAGCTGATGTTATAAAAAGTAACTTATGCTACTTTTATTATAGAAAAATAATTACGGTTCCGGTTCAAAAAAATTAAAACCTATGAAATCCAATCGTAATAAATTACACGCAGGCGAAGTCGCGGGGAACAGCTAGTCAACATTTAAAATTGCAGATTTTTATTTCATCGATACCTGCGGGAATCAAACTTGCTTGCTCGCGTACTATAAAATACGTTACACATTATAATTGAGTATGTTTTGCAGCTGTTCCAGAGAACTAAACATAAGCTCGTTATTAATGAAACAAAAGCCAGAAGATTCGAGTACATCGACCGATGAAGGCGTTTACATTGACTCTAGCAACTGTAATGATACTTGGGACCCTATTAGAGACCCCATTATTATGGTACTTGGCACCATGGCCGGGTTGTTATTTGTCGCCTGTGCAGTACTTCTTACTAAGATTCTACAGCTGAAGAGAAGGCCAAGGTATTTTAATTTTAAGTCATTATTTTTTCTACACGTGATGATGATATATACATATTATTTTTTATTGACACGTACAGCTTTATAGGAATAAAAGGCGGACGAAATACTAAACGCATTCTCTGCCAGACAACTTGCCAAACCTTGCCATGTTGTGAGAGTGTAAGATCGTCGTCATCGTCCCTTCACCTCGAGGGTCTTAACCCTTTCGCTGTCCCGTGCACTACATATAGGTCATTGCTATTGTCTTACTATTGTGTCTGAAAACCGGACAGCGAAAGTGTTAAGAGGCAACTATAAGAAAAACCATAAAGAAATCATCGATTCTAGTAGATGGTGGTATGCCATTTCGTATAGAAAAAGTCCAGGATTAGTGACCAGAAGCGATTGTTCGCGAAATGGGAAAAGCCTATATCTAGAGTACCGTTAATACCTAGTTCATAAGATAGAGATAGATCATAATACTATATCATTATATATGGATGTGCAGTATAAAGTGTGAATGAGTATGTTACAAATACATTGAGTTATATGTACTACGTACTAGAGAAGCCATTCTAAACAAAAAATGTGCACTACTCTATGTCTTGGCGCATGCGCGGGAGATAGAAGAGTCGCGCATACGCAGTTGCGCCACCACAGACTAACTAGTGGGTTGAAACCACACTAAATGACACACTGTACGGATTGCAGTACAGTTCAGTTGAACATAGTGTATGTTCGGAATGCGCAATCTAGTACGTAGTACATATATATTGATGGTTACAAATAACTTTTTATTCAATGACTCTTTTCTCTAACCTTAAAAATTCCTTCAAAAGGAAAGGAATCAGGTTAGCTAAGTAAAGAACAATGGCAGAAAAATAGTTGACAAAAATTATCGCGTCTAGAAATAAGTTATATATAAAATGAGTTTTATTATTTTTCTATGATTTTTCAAATAAAAATGTATTTTAATTAAAGCCAAAGAAAAAAACAAACAGTTTTGGGAATATCAAATGACTTAAATCATTTTACTCTATTCAAGTGTTGCCATTTAGTATATTCATACTGTTTTCGTATACACTTTGTAAGACTACCAACACAACACACAAAACATTTTTATATTAAGTTATTATAAGTAATAACTATACTATCAGTAATAATAAAAATAAAAGTGATATGGTTGAGAATAATTCTCTTACAAAGAACTTCCTATAATAATACATTATCACAATCATATTACTATGTAACAATTCCATTTAATGTTACGGCAAAACTAACTAAAACAAAATGTCACTGTTTTTTTTACCGGATTCACGGCTCTGGGTTCTAGCCCTTCTGAGAATGTCACTATAACACAAAGACCCTGGAGCCATGCCAGAAATATACATTTATAGTATGCAAATATATAATAGAGATACAATAATCTAAAAACTCTCAATTATGTATTAAGCTAACATCAAACAACCACAGGAAGCATGACTTTTTCCAAGTGACATAAGACATAACCTAAAAAGGTTCAAATCTATATATCTTTTTTTTGACGCCTTCTCAGTACAAAATTCTTTGACAGAGTTATTAATGGACTGAAGCTTAACATTTGAAGATATTTTTGATATATAGACGCTACCATTCCTTCTCAACTAATTTTATGTATGAAAGTCTGCCATTGTTCTTTTTACAATCGGTAAAGTTAATAGAAAACTATAAAAATAAACGAAAATGACATACAATGACGTAACGTTTAATTCATTTATCTGTCTAGTTCTCTATTAGCGTTAACGATTATAGAAAGTCAACTTAGCTAACCCCGCTGTACTGCAGTGACTACAGCTTCATCAACTTCAAATCTTTTTCCTCTCAGACACTTCTTCAATCTCGGCAATAGATTAGAAATGTTTAGGTGAAAATATTTCTATCGATATGTGTGATGAACGTGGAGGATGCTCGAGTACAACAAAGCCAACGTCGCCATTACAACGGTGGACTTGTGAGCCGAGGCGGTATCATGATTATCACGATGAAAGAAAATAATTTTTGCGAGTTTACTTCGCCGTTTGTCGCTGTTTTAGTGGTGCATTTATTTTCTCTGTATACCAAGTGTCCGTAACAATAGCTCCATGTTCGAGATATTCAATAACTAGCGTATTGTTTAATTTAATTTTTAACTAGCTTTACCAGCCAGTATTTACTTTTTAAATTCCAATAAGCTTGTACCATATTTTCACTTATAAATGTATGTTATATTTCATATCCGATTGTTTGCGTGTTTGTTTATTTTAATGCAATTATTGTTCTAGTTGTTATTGAATGACGGGAGATAGTTGATAAAACAACTCGTGTGTTAGATGTCTTTTATCTGACTGTCCTTGCAAAAGAAAAAGCAATAAAGAAAGTAATGCTTCGTATGCAAGAGGATCTGTGAAGAGAGTGACTTTTTCGGTCGCTTTTCTTTACACGATAAAATAACCAGTATAAGCAGTCTGTGCAGTATTCCATCTTAGTCCTCATAGGTCAAAATGCACTTGTAGACTTCTTTGTAAAAAATCATTGCTGGACTGTTAGCTCGTTTCCTACTTAAATGTAAATGATAACTTCTAAATATTACTTTTTTGGTTTCAGAATCAAGAAACGTATCATAGTCAACAAGAACGTAACCCCGCTGACGGCGCGGCCCGATCAGTGCGAGATCACTATTGAGAACTGCTGCAACATGAACATCTGCGAAACGGTAACCTTTTAACTTCTTTAATTAATTATTATTTTAAATGTTAATTTCATAGGTTAATCGATTTATCTAACCTAGGAAATTAACATTTTTGTACTGTCTCTAGTTGTATTAGAACTCAAACTCCACAATGTTAAAATTTGAGAAGAGATTAAATTACGTTTCACAAATGTCATTGTAAGTAGATGCTTTTAAACGTAGTGATTCATATATTCAAAGAAAGAGTACAGGAGATTTTGGAGCGTCGTCACCATATGGGATTTAGTCAAGCATTGGCTTATAAGTTAAAAAAAAGTTTGAGTTTAAACGAGGTTGTTACTGCCACTTATAGCGTTGTGCGTTTTAATTATTTTTTTTTATTAGGAAACTCAACAGCATATTTTTAACAAACATACTTAAAATACATATTAACACACTTAGCCAATAATAGTTTCACAACATGCTGAATAACACTTACAAAGCAGAGAGGTAAAATTGTAACTTAATACATATTATCTAAATACATAATATTTTACACACGATTGCGATATATGGTTCTATATTTTGTGATTTGTATACATTTATGTTTAGATTTAGATTGACAGCTTTTAATAAAATTAATAAAATAACAAAAATAAAATGATATTTACTGAATAAAATAGAATAAATAATATAAATAAATAAAATAAATATGTTACATGTTATTTTGTATACCTTATAGTTCTATTATAACGACATGATTTCCAAATTGATATTTTTACAGAATTGTGATAATACAGATGGAGTTATAGAGTAGATGTACATTATGTGACAGTTACTGCTTCTTAGTTTTAGACAGCTTCAGGATAAGTTTGTGTTTAAAGTTAGACTTAGAAAAATTGAAAATATCAACATTACTATATTTGATATTATAAATTTTGGGTAGACGAGTCATGACAGCGTTCATACCGTATTTGGTACGATGTTTAGGTACATTGAAAAGTGGAGTCTTTCTAGTACGGTGCTTAGGAGTGCATTTGAAACTAGCGATCCGCCTCGGCTTCGCACGGGAGATTTCAGGATCTCCGCAACAGTGCCACCTACCGGGTCCAATTGTGAATCGCTTAGATCATCCAGGGACCCACTCAAACACACAAAAAAATTCTTAAAAATCGATCCAACCATTTTAGAGTTTCTGCGAAACTAACGCACAGCAATAGATAGAAGATAGGCACTTGTAATTATATTATTAGAATAATTAATTTAAATTTATTTAACTAATCTTACCCTTTAACATTGCACATCCACTACCACTCACAGACAAAAATTAACGGAAGTGTTTTTTTTTTCTCTTACTTATTTACAAGCTTTTATTTAACTCCTAAATCGTACATAATTATCTTAACATTTTGCATCAATAATTCTCTTTGACTCGCAATTAAAACATTCCATCTGAAGTTAAAAAAAAAAACTACGCGCCGTAAAAATCAACAAGCCATAGTTAGCATGACATCGAAATATTTTTTGCACTGATATTTGTCTCAATCCTTTATGAACGAAAAGAGACTGTTATCTTAGGCATAGGTATTAGGTATACATGTTTTGTTTATTATGTTTCTACCAAACTTTATTTATCAGTTACACATTTTAGAAAAATAACGTAAGCTAATAAGTAAATCAGATTTTTGAGTAGGTAGGTGTACATTTAATAGCGTTATTTCTCTTTATTATTTAATTTAATTGGTCATTGTTACAGAAACTTTCGTAAACATTTAATAAGTACCTTATAGCCATAAGTATATATATAATATATATATACCTTTAATAAGTCAACAATAATTAAATAAATTTCGCAACTTCAATGTCGTTGGGAAGCGGATGAAGTTCAACTAAAGTAGTTAGCAAATCATGAATTATGATTTAACATTAAGGTTAAGTTAAGAAAGAGTTGTTAGAATTAGTGAATAATTTGAAGGACAAGGTCACCGGTAACCGTTGTCCTGACAACTATCGTGTCGTGATGTAAATCGGCAATAAATTGTTCCACCGGCCGTGTCGGCAATTACAATACACATAATAATAGTAAAAAGTCACTTTGGCCTACAATTTATACAATGGTCATGAAAGGAGAGCACGGTGTCAAGTGCACGTTGTTAATACATGTTCCTCACTTGTATTTTGGAAAACATATTTATTTTAAAGTATACATTAGTAATTATTATGTATTTCTTGACATACAATTTGCCTTTACGTACGGCTTTCGACGAGGTGCATACACAAATGACGGCTCCGTGGCGAAGTTGCTTAGCAATCAGTTGTTGCGCTGGGGGCCGCGGGTTCGAATCCCGCACGGAACAAGTATTTGTATGGCCTACAAATAATTGTTCCGGGTCTGGATGTTTGTCCTTGTACAATTTATGTTTGTAAAATGCCTCCACGACACAGGAGAAAATCCTAGTGTGGGGGTAATTTTTTTAAAAAAAAAAAAAAAAAAAAAAAAAATGTACCTACTTTCATTGAACAAATTACGTTGTCTTGAGACGCCGGGTCAAAACAGTCAAGACTGAAGGCAGAAGATACTTAACAGTTCGCCACGTGTCACGATCCTTACATACCTCATTAGCTTCTTTCAGATTCATTATCTTCTTCATACATGCACGTCTAGGTATCCGAGTAAAAAGCGATTTAAAAAATATTGGCATCGGTCAGATTTCAATTAGACCTTCAATTCAAAACAAGCATGCAAATACCAATCATGAGTTTTATCTGTAATAATCTGTATCGTATCTTCGTATGCAGTTGAAACTCTCTAGCGGCCAGAGTCTAGCCGTCTCGTTCTCGTTAGTGACAACTGACAAGGGCAAATTATTGCGTGACCACTGCGTGACGTTTTATACTGACTTGAATTCCAATTGCAATGCATTGCAAGTTATTGTAAATTAATAATTACTTATTATTCATTATAAAACAATGTAAATTGATAGTTTATTAATTAATAATTTTTAAATAATTTGTAAGGAATATCATCAGAATAAACACATTCTCATGGTATTTTTCTGTAATGTTTTTCTTTACTCTAATATTCTATTTTCTATTAAACCGAATGAAAATGCTTTCAAGAAGGGATGGACCTAATATTCGTTTCATATTGTTACTCGATCGATTATTCGGCAAAGCGGTACTCAATTATTTCACTGATTAATGTAACGTCTTACATAGTGGTTCAGTGCGTTGTTTTTATGAGGTAAAAGAATTTACAGTGTAGCTTTATTCTTTTGTGAATATACAAAAAACATTCGATAAAAAGATGGTTATGAAAATAATACCGGTTTTAAAAGTAAAACTATTAAAATAATTAAATTACAATATTTCAGCAATTTTTATATTTTCTAGTTAGTACCTATGGCGACAGAAAATCAAAATTATTTAATGAGAGCAGTATAAAATTTACATATTCATTAGACCAATAGAAAAAATAAGTAATTGATTTTTGATGGGTACTTCATATACATTCGAGAGATCAATTAAATGTAAAACAGTATACAAAGTAAACCATGCTTGGTGTAAAGAAGTATGTACAGACCCTGAACCTTTCAATGCTTTCAAGTAATTTATTCGGTTCGGTAAAAGTTTTGCCAAATATTCGAGTTCGGCGAAACGAATGTTCTGCCCATCCCTACTTCAAAGATTAAGAGTTTAACCCGTGCAAGAAGCATGCAGTTGTGGGATGTTTTGAACATAAAAATTGTTTTCATGCAGGTTAATAGGCTCGAACAAGCCTACAACGATGCTTGAATTTTGGTTCTACAAATAAATAAGGTTCATTTTTTATGAGATTTCGCTTGTTTTCTTTTCCGCTTGCATAAAGGAACACGCGCATACCGCATACTAACAACTGATTACGGTTTATGCTATAAATATTAACGTTTCACAAACAAAAACTCGCATGGCAATGGTGATTTATAGGATTGCATTAATCAAGTTTTTACTAAAACAAAGTTGAGATTATTTAATTATTTTAAATTTAAATATAAGTGAATAAACTCCTTGGTATTTAATTTTGAGTATTTCCTACGTTTTAACACCTTATTTATTGTGTGGTTATATAAAAATATGTATTTTGTTACAGCCTTGTTTCGAGCCCAGAAACACAATTAGACCAACACTACTCGACGCGAAACCAGGGAAGGAAGAGAAGAGAAATCTAATAGCAAACATGGAGAACCCAGATGACCCGTACTAAATTGTCATATCAAAAATTATTATCAACGTACTAATGTACAACATTTGGTATTGTGTCCAAAGTTAAACTATTGTGATATTTACTGTAAGAGGACGACAACCGTTTAGGATTAATGCCGTATGAAGCAAAAGGGCTGTGGATTCACATGTGCGTGGATGTCAAAGGATTTTTAGTGGCAGACTGTTAAAACCATTCACACCAAAGCGTCCTTTGATAATACAATATAGGAAGACTTGTTGTAGGTTACTGAGAAAATGGCTTTTTGTAAATTTTTTAATAAAATTATTCGTGAAAAAATTAATTTAGGATAATATGTGGTAAAATAGCAGGGAAATTTCTTTAATTTCATTTTGGCCTTAGCATCTATAAAAAATATTGCTGTTATTCTAAAAATTCCATAAGTTCTGACTGTTTTAGCTTATTTGCTTATTAAAATGGCATTATAATTTTTCAGTTTTAAAGTGAACGGGGCTTAATATTGTAAGAAAAAACATTAAACTTGAACTCACACAGTGCCTTCTCAAGTTACTTGCCTTGCGCTTAAATGTACAGACTATTAAATAATATAAACATCATAATATTGCCTCTATGGGTAAAAGTGTAATTTTTTTTTCTTTGACAACTCTTATTTGTCCATCAATGAGGTGGCTTATGATTGCGGCAGAATTTTGGTTGTGTGAGCTTATGGGGAAAGTATTGCTTGTTACGTGAAAAAACATTAGCATTTATATTTAATAATTTTACCTGTTGATGTAAAGCGACGAGTTAACGCAACAACATGTATATTTTTTTCTTATTTTTGTGTTTTTAATCATGTCATATAATTAACCAAAAAATCCTATACTAAAATTGTCTGTTATCTTGGGATCGGTATTGTATTTTTCTTACTTTCTTTTGTAAAAAAATAAGCAGATGTGAACCTGCTTATTTTCTTGCTAAGAGCAGATTTGTGTAACATTCAATTCTGAAGCCATATAATATATACTTATTGTTCCCAATTTATTAATTTCAAGATGTTAAATATAGTTCAATGATCGGAATCATTTTGTATCGTATAATTTGTTATAAACATACAAACAGTTCCTTTATTGTGTTCAAAGTACCCACTGCCTTCTTTATTCAGGTTACTTACTTACTACGTACACACTGTACTTTTTGTAAACTTGTTAACTATTTTTAATTTAGTGATCGTTATATACAGGATGGCGATGGTGATGTCACAATAAAAATAGTAAAATAAATTCGAAACACTCTGTATTAAATAAAATAAATTCATTAACGAAAGTAGTAATGATCACGTTTTCTTTATTGTGTTATTGTCATTGCTGCCCCGTATACTTAACTATAAATATCGTTTTAAAACAAAACCTTAATAAGTATAATGTTTGGTTTGATGTAGAAGTCCAAAACCAATTCGTAATGTTTGATTTGATGTAGAAGTCCAAAACCAATTTGTACTAATACAAACTGTTGAGCGTTGGTAGCTTTAGTGGGAACCCTGCAAGCGAAATTTCTTGGAGGGTCTATTGTCGAAAAAAATCCAACTGGAGATAGGTATGTTGAGGTTCCTCTAGATAAGGAACCTTGTATCTTGTATCGTTGATTCAGAAGATACAGCGATAGCTACACACCAATACTTGAGTTAAACTTAAATCGCAACTCGACAATTTACAATGAAAATCATAAACTGTTGTTGACACGAAAAGTTTAAGTGAATTTTAAATTAGTTTTACTGTTTAGTAACCAGAGTGCAGTAAATTTTTAACAGCATCTTGAACATCGAATGTGGATGATTTATCACAACGATATTTACTAAAACTACGAGTATAAGCTAAAAATTTCCATTACAGCCTATAAAAGTCCATTGCTGAAATAGGCCTCCCCTATGGATTGCATTTCATAATTTTCATGCTCGGGAGGCGGGTTTTTGTTATTATTTTTAGTTGTTATCAGAAAGATGCTGCTAGCCATCTTCTGTTTTAGTTACCCTCTGTCGCCTCTTACGACACCCACGGAAAGATATGGGGTAGTGGATATTCTTACACCGTCACTACATGGCCCAAACTCAAAACTTGCTATTCTTGAATTTTTTTTATTCGACCTTTTTGAATATGTTACCTATATTAACATAGTTTATTGTTGTGATTAAGGAAAATCGTCCATTTTGTTATGGAATGCTGCATTGAGCGTACCTAAAAGATTTTCTTTTTTTAGGTGCCGTTTTTATATATCTTTTTCATGTAGTCTGCACTCAGCCCAGATGTATAGGGTTAATTTTTTTTTTGCTATCATAGACTTAGAATTAACGTTCCTATATTTGTAGTAAGAAAGTATATCAATGTCGACGATATTATATTTAAAGAAATTCGTTCGTCATGCCATTTTGTTATTGCCAAGCCAACGCCATCTGGAAGGAAATTTTTGAATTTCCCGTACTGGTACTTAAAATTTCGATATTATAACAACAAAAATGCTAAATATATCCAATGCCTCACGTGCGACTTATTATTAAAAAATAAACGACTTTTAGAATCTCACTCCTGTTTACTTAATAATTGTACTTATTTAATTCGAAATTATTTAAAATAATGTCCTTATTTATTTGAAATAAATTATTCAAGACTATTTAAGTAGTGTTGCGATTTAAAAACACATAACTTACCTATGAGAGGCATGATATTGGTTGGGTTGTAATTTCGTATACTTATATTGGCGGTACTTAGCGTAGTTAGAAAAAATAGTTTTAATTAGAATTAGATTAGTTCGTGGATTGATAATATCCACATCAGAAATGTGATATTATGAGTCTTTGTATAAGCAAATAGTTTACTTTTTATTATGAAAATAAAATGCTTTATAAAAGAAATGTTGTTTGCAATTGCAAAATAAATCTTCACCATGAACCTACATTTTATATTATAATTGACAAGATTTGTCGTAATGACCACGCTAGATAGGATGGATGGAACGGTGATTTTACTACGAGACATTCACGCTCTTGACGGCTAGACCTAGTCCAAGTATTGAGTCTGACCTAGTCTGGTTGTCGCTGCTTTCTGTCGCCCCCTAAAATCTGACGTCCGGGTACATGACACCTCACCGTTGCTATGTAACTGTGTCGCCGGTTACCGGTTTGGGAAACATATATATGACATACAGAATGTATACACCTAACAAGAAGTGAAATGTGGAAGCGGTCTAAAAGAATTTCGTACGTAGATGTCGTAAAGATTGCAAGAGAGCAATGAGGAACAACTACAAAGATATGAGATATACGGTCAGCCGCCCAATTACGGCAATTTTGGCAAATTCTCCTTTAACCTGCGGTACCCTAATGACTATTGGACGAGGCTCTAGCAACTAAATTTTGGAGGTGCGGGATATATTCAGGTAAAATAGGGAGGTCGTCGCAAGTAATGCTTATCAGCTGAATATGAAGTCTTATATCTGGGGGCACAGCAGTGCCCCCGCCAAGTCGAGCAAAAAAGCGGCACGGCCGTATTATCCTTTTCTCGAAGCAGTTCAGGCCATTTTCGTAACCCTATAACCTCGTTGTGGATAAAACTAGAAGCCTGAATTTTCAGCAACCAAGTAGGCATTGTATGAACTCGGTATATTTCAAATTTCATTAAATTTGAACCAGTAGTTTAAGAATTATAACTAGTCAGTTTCTTAATTTTGTCACTCACTGACTGACCGATCATCAAAACTCTAAGGCACTTTTAGCAGACATAGAAGCTTCAAATTTGGAATACAATTATTGTTTAATATATAAGTTAAAATATTTTGCAATTTCGGTCCAGTTTTCGAGATACACCAACTGCATAAATAACTGTAATCCCACTTAAATATATAGGATTACAAAGTTACATTTGCAGTGAATGGATCAGTGTAGAGATCAATGGTGTAGTATAAAATTTTCAATGATCCAAAATCTGGTTTCACCAAAATTCTTTCAGAGGGAAGGTGGCATAGAAAATATATGAATTCTTGAACTAAGTCAGTCTCTAAATAATTAGGATACATATTTTTCAAGAAAAGGGCTTTTTCTGTAAGGGTTGTTGATCTTGATAATGTTGTTGATTTTGGTCCGAAATTAAAAGTTTTTTTGAACCAACACCTATCGTTTTTCTAATTCAGATACGAGTCTATCAATAAGGAAGAGAAATTTATTAGCCCTGAAAGTATCACTCGACTCGAAGTCATTCTCATTTCTTTATCAGGTGTCTCATCATATATTTTTTTCTTTTGCGGTTGTATTTTCCCCCACGTCTTTTGCTTACTGCTTCGCTTAATTCGATCACTTTTTCTTGGAAATACTTAAAAATTTCTCATTTAGCTACAAAGAACTGAAGAAGCGATAAGCTTCTGTGCAACATTCAGTTGCCACTAAATGTTAAGAGAGGACAGAGCAAGGAACGAAAAAAGCAAAAGGTGCTTGGCTTTGAATTTTAGCCATTGTACACACACCAGACATGTTTGCGGAATTATCATACTACGGCAAGAACCCTCTTCTGAACGTTTTTCCAATAAGTAATTTTCCAGAAAATTGTGCCAGAGAAATATTAGTACGTATTAAATCACACCAGGATTCAACCGAGGCAGCTTTTCTTTTGGTTTTGAAGTAAATACATCTGTCTCGAACTCAATGCCAACACGCAGAGTACGTCTTCAACAGTACGATCCTGCTGCGGCTCCCGCGGCTTCCGCGCCTCGCTCGTTCAGTCAATTCGTCAACATTTCCATAGATATACTACATAGGGCAGGCATTTCGATAAAACACACTTGGTCCTTGACCACAGCGCATGGTCATGTCACTCGTTTCCGCGCTACAACTAAACACAAATTGTAGGAAAATGTATCAACCAAGTGAAAAATGAAAAAGTTTTAGCCCTAAATCTGCCGCCCTAGGCTCCAGCCTACTCAGCCTGCTGATAAATCCGCCACTGTCTATATATATATATAATGGATTAATTATTATTAATTAAAAATGGATAAAA